ACTGGCATCATCATTGGGGACTCCTGTCCAGGTTCCAACTTTCGGTCATACATCATCTGCAGACAAGCTGCCTTCTGCACACTCTCTACTAATTGATCCACAGTCCCCGTAATCGCCGGAGGGTCCCCCCTCTCCAAGGGGTTCAAGCCACCTGCCCAATAGGCTGCCTGCTGGGTCAGAGACCAGGGGGCATGGTGGTTCCCAGTAGTTAAAAACACTCCTGGTCCCCAATACCCTTCCGCCTCTCTTTCACTTAACAGAATCTGTTCCCCCCCAGACAGCGACACTCTCCACACATACTCCGTATCTGGCTCCTTAGGGGTTTGGCCAAATTCCTTCTTTAGTTTCATCAACTCGACAGCAGTATAAGGGACTTCCTTGGTTGTAACTTGGGGGGACTGGTCCTGCTCATCATCATAAATGTACTTGGTCTTGACCAAGGGTAGCAGCAAAAGTGGTTCTAATTTCTCTACTTTCTCTTTCGCTGCCTGCAGGTCATTAAAGGGGTAGCCAATTTCAGATCTTGGGGGAATTTCCTCACAGGTAGTATCTGCAAGGAGCTTCTCCTTAAGGGCAGTTTGCAAATATTTCACTTGATCCTTTTCCGCCTTAAGTTGTTCTTTTAATTCTGCCACTTGCCCCTGAAGGGACCGGGTAAGGCTTTTAAGGGATTCGATAGTCAGGGACTCCGCAGTACAGCAACAATCTCTAGCCTCTACCGCGGCAGCCAAACTAGCACCAAGAATGGCACAAATAATTGCTTTGCCTTTTGCTCTTAGTCTCGCATCTTTGTAGCTTTGGGTGAATGTGAGAAAAACTGGATATATGTTGAGTGTGATATGGACATGACTGAAAACCACTGAGTACTGATGTCTTAATGCATTTTTAAAGTATCTGAGCCTTTGGAACTGACAGAAACATATATTTTCCCTCTTGACGTTTTATTTTGGAATTAACGAGGGATGAGAACAACAATGAAACAGCTGTGGCTCAAGCTAATGAATATTAATTTTCCCACACAATCACTTGTGAATATACATCCATGCTTTTTGTTATTCCTTTATGCACTGTTATAAGATATGTTTGAATAAGACAGTAACTGATACAATATATGAAGACAGGATGTGAAGTATCTTTTAAATTCCAAACTATGAGATACAGGACAGAAACACAGCAAGGAATTAAAAGAAAAAAACCTCTAGGGAACCACTATTATGAAGGTACTTAATCTGCTAGTTATCCACCACACATGCAGATACTAATGTCAGTTCAAGGGTAGCAGGGCTGTTCATCATTCATCAATTCTACTGCTCCAACAGCCTGCTTTCCTGACACAAGGTAATGTAGCATAACCAAATATGACAATTCACAACACTGTATTTATCAAAGAACAGAATGAAAAAGCATCTCCATCTGAAAGGCACTCCTAATTTGAAGGACTCTGCAATTTCAAACAGTGAAATGTCACACGGCATTTCGGAAGAATGTATATGTACACAGGCACATGTGAGAAGAACCAGTTCTAGACCATGTGCTGGACTTCAAAAATTTGCAGTTAAATTTATCTATAGTACCTACCTACCACCTCTACCTACCTCAGATTTAAAGTAATGTATTTACAGACAGAAACTTTAGATAACTAAAGGGAATCTGATTGTGAATGTTCACTTTGACTTAAAGAAAACAAAAAAAGTATATATAAAAATTAATGCCAACTGATATACGCACAAATCACTTCTATTGAAAATAAAATACATTGAAAAAATGAATGTTAATGTTATATATAGCTCAGAAAGTTGTAGAAACTTTTTTCATTGCTTAGCTTAGTCAAACATCCCACAACCATTTTGAAGTTAGCCAAATTCCTAAACATTCTAGTAATTTAGAAGCAATTCCTGTTTAGTTTTCACTTTAATCACTGCCCTGTCCAACTCTTTAATTCAAGAATCCTAGCTGAGGGGTAATTCTTAGTTTCATAAGAAATACAATTACTTTAACAATAAGTCAACATGGAATTTGTATGGGTTTTCCTGTTTGCTTGCTTCTATGTAGTCCTCTACAATACTCTGTGCTGTCTGGTTGAAGAGGTTACAGGGAATGCTTTGGGTTTAATGCACTAGCTTGAATAAAATTAGAAACATCCAGTGAAAAGACACTTGACTGAACATGTGCAGCAGGCAGTGAAGTCTTTCCTGAGTAAATTCCTCTCTGAAGAAGGTGTTCTCCACACTGTATTCCCTATCAGGTAGTACTGATGAAGCCAAACTGCTTTAAAATATTCATAACTATTTAATAGCATTAGGGCTTTGCTGTGTCAAAATAAGGTGGCCAACTGTCAATCAATCTAATATAACTGACATAATGTTGTTTGGGTAAACAGTTTCCATTTGCCGCCTTAGATCTCACATTGTTTCTTCTTGCATTTACCCCCTGAAGACAGGCAATATAAGAGACATTCAGCAGTGATCAAAGACACAATGTTGGCCCATATTCTATTTCAGTCAAGAGGTTATGGTTATAACAAAGGGAAAAAAATCAGGTGTCTCCAGTAATAGATTCTTGGCATACTTCTCTTTCTCTAACTTTATTTTTTTCCTGGAATTCTTCTTACATTATTATCCATTCCCCAATTAAATCGCATTGATTCCCAGAAATGTTCCTGAGACTCCCCTCAACAAATTATTGAACTTCATTATCCTGCTGGTTTACCCCTTTTCCAGTTTATCGATGAATATGTTAATTAACACTGAAGGCATTTCTGGATTATCTGATACTTACTTTCCTGGGCCTCTATAGAAGTTTTTTTACAGCATGTCAGGAATATATCAAAAAAAAATATATTTCTGGCTTGGTAACAACAACATCAATAGTTGGAAGTCTACATCTAGTAGGAGTGGACAACCACAATGTATGTTCAGTTTGATCATCACTGCTTTACCTTATTATGCTGTATCTCATTATTAACTTAAAATGCAGCATTAGCAGAGAGAGTGTTCAGGACTATTTCCCCTTTTTACAGCAGTACATTTGTAATATCCAGAAGGCACAGCAATGAATCACATTCTATTGCAACAGCAGCAGAACATGGACCTGTCATCAATGCACACAATGGACTTGAATATAGACATTTTTGTCTGAAGTCAGCTGCAACAGTCATGAAAGGGCTGGAAGTTTGTGTGCAGTGAGGTAGTCTTTCGGGGTATAGGATGGACATTGGGCAGCGTTACAGGGATAATATACTTCTCATCTTTTCTATCTAATTTTCTGTCTACTGATGATAATTGAGAAAAAAATCCCCTGAAACAAACAAACTCCCCTCCCCCAACCACCCCCCCTACTCAGCTCTAAAAATAACACATGCGATGAATACTGGCATTTGTTCATTAACTTCCTTTTCATCTGGTGCAATCTTCTCCCTTTGATATTGTAATTTGGATGAATTTATCATCACTAACATGGTTTTTAAGAACAGAAGAAACAGTAAAAACTATTCTGTTGCTTATACTATTTTAAATACAGCAATGATCGGTCAGGTGTCACTGATGACTTTCCACCATTTTATGTTTTGACAGAAGATCCTCTAGGTGCAGAAAGGTAATGTAATTCATTTCCAAGCTCTATCAGGCCTCAGTTTGTTGCCAAAATTTCCACAGAGACAATATACTATGGTGCTGGTTTTATGACATGAGTCTCTTCCACTAGTAACTATACTGAGAGCACAAACTTTTTTCACATAGGCCATCAATCAGAGTTTAGAGAACAAAACCTTATGGTTACTGCATTGCTGGTCTGGTCTGTAAGTAGTGATTTAAGGAAAAAAGTTTTGGAATATCATTACCAGCTCTCTGGGCCAGTCAGACTTCCATTCAAAACAAGCAGAAAATATTTCCTATGAAAAAGCATTGATCAAGAATTCAGAAGAGCTAGATTTCTCATGTCTGTCAGCCACAAAGTAATTTTTATTTATCTTATCCATTACAAAGGGTAGTCATTCACACATTTCTATCAGCAACAGCATTACAGGATTTGAATATACCAACCCCGACCTTTACCAGAGGATACTGAAAACAGAAAGTTTTTTTCTAGACATTAAACATATTGAGATTGGTATCATTAAAGACATATTTCCAACATTCTTTTTTACTTTTACAGGATGCTCAACCATCTGCCAAAGCATCAGCTGGTATAAGCTGATGTAGCACAACTGCTTTAAGAAAAAAATAAATTAAAAATTCCGATTTGCGGCAGCAGAAGCTCCAGCAATGCTTCGAATCAGTGCATTTCTGTCTTGCTATAAATCTTGTGTTTCTATAATTATGAAGGCCATTGGCAGGACTGAACAATATACAAGTCCATGCAATCAGATGTGATGCAGCTGAAGGTCCTGAGGAAGCTGACTTTGATAGGGCATGGTGCTCAGGGACCTTCCTGATGACTGGAGAAAGGCACGTAACCCATCTTCAAGAAAAGCAAGAAGGAGGTTCTGGGGAACCTCAGCCTGTGGGAAAATTATGGAGCAAGTCCTCCTCAAAGCCATTTCTAGCCACAAGAAAAGAAACAAGAAAAGTGACAGGGAAAAGCCAAAGTCCAGCTGTTGCCCAGTTGCTAATACCATCTCTCAGGGACTGAAACTTCATCACTGGGTCAAATATTTCTCAAAGTTTTTATTAACAACCTGGATAGTGAGCAAAAGAACACCCTCTGCAAGTTTGCAGATGATACCAAAATGGCTGCTATATTGAGGGTTATTACCTTCTGTCTGGCATTTGTGAGACTGCATCTGGATTATTTTGTCCAGAGTTGGGCTTCTCAATACAAAAAAGACCTTGACACAATGGAGTGAGTGCAGCACAATCAAGATGATCAGGGGTTGAAGCAGAATATGGGTTTGTTCAGCCTTTAAGAATACATGAGCATGGAAGCACTCACATCTCTCCCTATATTGCAGACAGCGCTTGCCCCAGTGCTTCTGCTTTCAGAGTATGTTTTCATCATTAATCTTGGAGGATACTGCCTGGCTATGAGCTATTTTGGTATCCACAGCAACATTCTGTCCATTAAGAGAAATACCACATTGAGAAGCAATTATAAACTGTAGGTAAGTACACACAGCAGTAAGAAATTGTAATCCTTATACTAACTGCATCCAGAATATACTTCTTATTGTAACTAATAATAAAGGCATATCCTCTGAAATGTAGTCTATCTTAAACTGTAACAAACTTGGGGAAAATGTTATTCAACCAAACAAACATGTTATTGTCAGTCTTCACACTTTCCAATAAAAGTGGACATTATCAGGAGTAGACAATATTGCTTTTTATGTAGAATTGTGGTTAACATTGTTTAACAGACATATGATTATGATTATTATAGGTTGGGCAGGCTAAGTTAAATCTTACATCTCGCTGCTTCCATGCCAATTCACTTTAAAACTGTTATTGTAGGAGCCCTAACAGGAGCACCACCAGGGAATCAGCAAGTCCTATAACTGATAAATATATCCAGATGCTGAGACTGAAGCATGAAGATGTAAGTGCACATGTTTTAGCCCTTTCACAAAGGCACAAAGGAGATGAGATCATTCAGAAGAAACTCATTGACTGTACCCAGCCGAAGCGATCACTTGCTACCTCGCAGGCTGTGGTGCGGGTTTTGCAGACAGCACAGGGACCCCAGAACTCTCAGGAAGCAGGCAGCCATCGGATTTCATTAACTGCTGTCATCCTGCAGAGCCAAGGCTGCTGGACAATTCAAATTTCTTTCACGTTATGAAGATTTTTTATTTCTTTCTA